GTTGACAGCGTGTCCGATCTAGTCAGTCTATTTCTAAGCTTTTTACTCTAAGTGACTTTATGCTTTATTACTTATTTAACATTATATTTGGAATGTAACTACACTTTGAGCCATTTTAAAGAAGATTTGTTGCAGTTTTTTTCCATGTTTGACCAATCTATTGTTTGTCAGTTTCACTTTCTTTATTATTTATATCACATTGGCTGTTATGCTCCTATTTGCACTTAATGAACAAATTAAAGATCTGTTTTTTTACACGTTTGACTAAACTTGTTGAGCTTTTTGGTGTATTTAGGTGTGCTGCACTGGTGCAGAATTATCAAATACATTTGTAATTTAGTACATTTATGCCTGTGTGTTAAACAAAATGTAAAAAAAAAAAAAAAAAAAAACATTTTAAATCAGTGCAGCATTGTTTTTTGTTTCAGATCGGTATCGGCCATTACTAAACCTCAGATTTTGATATTGGTATTGAAAGTGAAAAATGTGAATCAGTTCCTTAAAACTGATTAAGAAAAAGTACTAGTTATGAGTGAAATAATTTGCCAATGGAACAAAACATTTTTCCCATATTATAACTTGAAATATCTTTGTCTTTTTCATCAAAATGGTAAAGACTACCAAATCAAAACAAGCTCCTATATCTTGCTGAAAAGTTACTTGTCTGTTGGTTTTGTTTTACTTACTACTGAGACATTTACACTGGAAACTAGACCAGAAAAGTACTTGGTAAAATTCAGATTTTGCAATGTAATGGTAAAAACAAAAACAAACAAATAATCCCCATCATCTTAAAATCCAAAGAGTTTGTGGGTCTGATGTGCTCTTTGCCGGCGGCAGGCGGTGGTGGTCCAGCAGGACAGCTACATCGAGGACCAGCGGCAGGCCCTGAGCGAGCGCTCCTCCTCGTGCTCGTCGCTGTCGCGCCAGTCGTCGCGGCCCAGCTCGCTGATCGAGCAGGAGAAGCAGCGCAGCCTGGAGAAGCAGCGGCAGGAGCTGGCCTCCCTGCAGAGGCAGCAGGCCTCTCTGGCCGAGGAGAAGCGGAGGAGGGAGAGGGAGTGGGAGCTGAGGGAGCAGCAGCTCTCCGACAGAGAGTCCACGGTGCACCTGCAGGTGAGACCTGCTTCCACCGCCTTCCTTTTCCACGTCAGGCTCCAAGTTTTCCAGGAGTGGGGATCGCTTCATGCTGGAGTTCAGAACTTCCACATCGTGCTATAAAGTAGAAACTCTAGTTCTCTTCACACATTTCCTTAGTTGCTTGAAAAGTCAAATAATCAGTCAATCGAGTTTATTTGTATGGCACGTTTCAGCACCGAGGCAGTTCAAAGTACTTCCAGCTTGATGTGAGATGCAGATTGAAGTGATTGTTTGTGTTTATGGGATGTGGTTAAGGTGAAATGATGTGCCTTTCACCTTAACCACATCCTGTGATGCTTTGTGTTGTTAATGTACATCTGAAAAGTTGTACATTAACAACACAAATGTACAACCTATTATGACAAATGTCCAATTTGTCAAAATAGGTCCTCTTTAAACATCGGTGATCGGCCGGAAAACTGCAGTCGGTGCAACCCTATAAAATACTCAACCACTGAGGCTTATTTTAAGATGACAAAGTTTATAGAGTATGAATGTGTTTTCCATGCACTGTGTGTAGTTAATTTTTAGACTGATAATCTGACAAAATTTGAGGGGGTAAAAACCTTAATTAAATCTTAGGATCTTTCTCCTCCTAAGGTTGAGCTTTCTTGAGGTGTAATCGAGTGAAATCAGCGCTTAGACAAATCACAGGACACATTATGTTCTTCAAAGCTTCACATTTATCGACCTTCAAAACCCGTAGCGTGTTTTTAAAAGCTTTCCAAGAATCGCATTCACGTCTTTACCACAAATCGGATAAATAAACATGGGCTTCTGTGAGTGGTGGTGTTTCATCAAAGTGATCCCTCTGCCTCCCAACCACTGCAGGAGGAGGAGGTGCAGAAGCAGCACAAGCAGCTCGAGGAGGAGAGGAAGGAGCTGCAGAGCAAGAAGGAAGAGTACCAGAGAGACCTGGAGAGGCTGAGAGACGCCCAGAGGAAGCTGGAGAAGGAGAGGGAGGCTGTGCAGCGGCAGATCCACAGGATGGAAGAGCTGCGGCTGTCTGAGGTGAGTCGGGGGGGACGGATGTCAGGGAAATATGACGACTTGAGTCCTGCAGGTGGAGCCGAGGCTCGGAGTCTCTCCGTCTTAAAGGGGGATAAACATGGTTTTATCCAAACGGATCAGCTTTTCCTCTCACTCTGAGTCGGACATTATTCTCACCTTTAATTAACATTAAATCTTCAAAACACATTAAATCTTAGCAAGTATTTTTGATGCAAGAAGACAAAATTAACTTACAAGTAACTCTCCAGCGAGATGCAGGAGCTTATTTTAAGTCAATAATTTCTTGATATTGTTGAAAAGCTGCTAGTTCCACAGGTAGATTATTTCACTTCTAACTAGAGACGCACCGATCTGATACTGATATCAGTATTGTTCCGATATTGAAAAGAATTCTAGATCAGGTATCTGTGACGGTGTGCGTAATGGCAGATCTTTTCAGTCTAATTCTACACTTTGTGCTCTGAGTGATGTCATGCTTTATTATTTATTTTATATCAAATTTAGAAACACTTTGAGCCATTTAAAAGAAGATTTGTTGCAGTTTGTTTCTACACATTTGACCAAGGTCATCAACCTATTGTTTTTGTCAGTTTCTGTTTTGTTTTTCTGTTTTAATAGCACTGACTGGACAAATTAAAGTTATTTATACATGTTTGACCAGCTTTTGAAGCTGTTGGTGTATTTTTAGCTGTACTGGTGCAGAGTCATCAAATAAATTTGTAATTCAGTAAATTCTTGTCTGTGTTTAAAAAAAAAAACAAAACAAAAAACTGAGATACTAACCCTCACATTTCGGTAATGGAAGTGAGAAAAGTGGATTGGTGCATCCCTGCTAATAAGATGAATATAATGCCTTATTAACCAATACTTTAATATTTTACTGAATTTATCAGCATTAGGGAATTATTGACCTAAAACAAGCTCCTGTTTCTTGCTGTAAATGAACTCCTGAGTTGCGCTGATGTTAGCACCGGCTCACGTTTCCCTCCCGTGCCTCCAGAGGACTCCCTCCACGACGTCCGACGAATCCCTGTTCCTGGGCAGCTCCCAGTCCCTGGAGCTGGACCCCCTGGAGCTCTCCTCCTCCTCGTCTTCGTCCTCCACCCTGCCCAGGCTGCAGCCCCAGCGCTCCAAGGCCAGCAGGAAGGGCCTGAACCCGTTCACCTCGTCGTCCTCCGGCAGCCTCAAGAGCTCCGAGACCAACAGCCAGATCTCCAAGGGCTTCCTGCAGCTGGCCAAGACCAAGAACAAAGACGGGAAGAAGAAGAAGAAGAGCAAAGGTGGCAGCGCACAGGCGGCAGGTAGGGAATGCCGATGGATTCCGATGAATTATTGAGCATCTTACAGCGAGTTGAAGTGGAGTGTTTTACCATGGGTGGAGGAGCCGGGGGGGGGAGGGTGCACATGGAGATGCAGAAGGAAAATAAGACTCATGTTTAGGATGGATGGCAGATGTGTTGGATGTATTTTAGGGGTGCAAAGTTTCAAGGTTTCCCAGAAGGTTTTTTTTTTTTGTTCTTTTCTTTTGCAGTTTTTATGCATTCCCAACAACTTTCCATGGAAAGCCAAAACTTTAAACATGGTTGGAAGTAGCACTCCATTTCTAGCTCAGATAACTACTTTAGAGAATAAAGATTGTGTCTTTATTCTGCACATATCATTATATAGTCAAATCTACTAGCTCTCTTAGTGAAAATATGTGAAAACCAGCTCTGGGCGATGAATCGATTTTATTGGTTGATTGAATTTTTGGTTTTTGAATATCTTTGGAAATTTTGGGGGTTTTTCCCGTAGCTTGCATAGTTCAGAGTGATGTGAACGCGCCCAAGGCGGCCATCTTGTTTGACAAACATCTTTTACAGCTTTTATTTCAAAGTATTAAGACCAGGCTAAGATATCTTTTTTTTTTATTTAATCATGAGAATAAAGTCATAAAATTACAGAAATACGATAACAGAGTCAAAATAATACAAGAATAAACTCATAATGTTACCAGAATAAAGTTGTAGTTTTCTTTACATACTCTTACATCAAAAATAAGAAAAATTCAGTTGAGGAAAGTTGAAGATGAAGTTATGATTTGGTACGAGTTTTACAGACTTTATAGATATATTTAATATGTTTTACCCATCAGCATCAGATTATTACCAGTAACAGAATTATAAACTTTAAAAGCTGTATGTTTTGAAGAAAGAACCACAAACTGATCTTGATGGCTCTGGAAGCTTTTTCTTATTGAAGAAACTTTTTTCTCGTAATTTTAATATGTTTATTCTGGTAATTTTGCATCTTTCTCCTGCTAATATGATTATTGTCATAATTGATTAAAAATTGTCGCAGGCTGGCCTTAATACTCCATCATACGACTCACAGAAGGGGCGGATGAAATAAAAGCCACATTTTGAAACCATTTCTCTCATTTGTTTTTAGAGTAATTTACTCGCTGAACTCAACCTAAGTTGGACGTTGTACTGAATGAACTCATGAAGCTCCTCCGTGTCGACCTGGTTCACATGTAGCCCCGTCGCTCCATCCTCTGTTTCAGCCGCCTGCGAACAGTTGTGATCAGAATCAGGACTGTGGCTGCTCCTTTGACTCGTTTCATCCTCCAGAAGAGGATAAGCGGGAGATTTGAGTACCCAGATCAAAGAAAAGCTTCGTCAGCGCTCACACCAGAGAGGCTGCTTCATCCGTCTCGTGAACTACACAGACATTTATCACTGGAAGCTTCTGGGTTTCAACTCCATCAGCGTCTGATCAGACAACACCTTCTTTTCTCTTCCTTTTCTTTCTTTTCTTGCCTCCCTGTTTTCACAGAGACCCGATTAGTATTTCGCACGGGTCGCCAAGGCGACACGCACATTTGTTGCAGGAGTAAATTAGTTTGGAGAGTAAATTATTCAGCTGTCCTACATTTCAGGAAGGGAGGGGAGGAGTTGCAGCACTCTTTTCCTTTTTTTTTCTTTCCCATCCTATATTCAAGATCCTTGCTGTGTTTACAGATCAGACAGATGCAGCAGAGAGAGGAGTAAAGAAAAAAATGACGTGGTATTAAAAGCAGCGAGACATGAGAGAAGCACAAATACATTTGGAGATGATGGCTGTGAAATGAACATGCAGCACATTAGGCAGCTCCCTCAGGCAGCCTGTTGACTCTCCTTTAATGGTTCTGTGTGACAGATCCCGACACTGACTCCTGTCTTCTCCTCCCCTCAGACCCTCAGCATGTTCCCGAGCCCCCCATGGACGGAGAGATCTTCTTCTGCTAAGACTCTGCGGCGGCGGCTCCATCGTCGCTCTCGACAGCCCGGAGTCGACGTGTCCCTGCGCACTTTCTCAGTACGACATGTAGCACAGACTGCCCCTCCGTTTGGATTTTCGTTTAGAGGTGCAACCAAGAAGCCTTTTTGTTTTTTGTTTTTCCGAGGCTGGTACCGCTTCTTATGTTCGGCTCATTCCCAGATTCTTTATGGAATGTAAGCGATTGAAGAAGTAATAAAAACACACAGGAAAAAAAAAATTAAAAAAATGTGCTGCAGTTTGAATCTGATAGAGAAATGACATTATGTGTCAGAGCACATGTTCCAGCTTTATTCATCGGGACTTCGCTGTAAAAGTGCACCAAACTGGGAGAGACATTTAAAGGCCTGATAGAGAAACTTAGTTTTTATGGAATTGAGGAATTTATGTTTAAGAAAAAAAGGAAAAACTGGGGATTTGACATCACCAATCAGAGTCAATCAAAAGAACATGGGACAATTGCCACAACTCTGACCAATTGATCAGTGCATCCCTACTTTTAATTTAAAGTGAAAACCACTGATTTTATTCTGTTGTCTCCACAAGCTAGACCCCTTTTTTTTTTCCAGCATGCACACAAACGCCCAGTCAATCCAAACGCAAACTAGATCAAAAAGACTTTTTTTTTAGTCTAGTTTCTAGTACTAATATCTTAGTACAATCGAATTAAGACGAAACTAACTCATGAGTAAATTTTCAGCAAGATATAAGAGCTTGTATTAAGTCATCTATTCCTTAATATTGATGAAAAACGTGCCGGTTCCACTATCAGGTTATTTCACATAACATGGGAAACACATCTTGTTCCAAGTTAAATAAACTTGCTGAAAAGTTACTTGTAAGTCAGTTTAGTCTTATTTCATGTGTACTAAGATATTTCCACTAAAAACTAGACCAAAGTAACTTGGTAAGATTTTGTGTTTTTGCAGCGCAGGAGCAGATTAGCGTTCTCGACACTGATCACTTTCGTTTGCGGTTAATCGACGACTGGGAAAAAAAAAAAAAAAGCACTGAAGGGCCTCGTGTGTTGTCCTGGCAACCTTATCTTTTTATCACAAGGAGCTGCTGCTTCTGTGTTTCACTCCTAACAAATCCACATTACAACCCCTTTTTTTTTTTTTCTTTTTTTTTTTTTTTTGCTGCCGCCAGATTGTAAGCTAAACGGACGCGGCGAACGGCGAGTTAAGTAATCCGCGGCGGCTTTACGGCATCCATCGCAGTTCCTGATGAGGTTGTAATTTATTTAAATTGGGTATGTCTCCATTTTGGAGTGAAACTCTTAAGACTCCGCTGTAATGAAAGGATCGAGACGCGCGCTATCTCTCCGTGTCAAACGGCTCAATTCATATCCTTTTAGTGTGTTGTAGAACCTTGGATGGATATTAGCTTGATCCCGGCGTTATCTGCCTGTCAATGAGCTTTTATGCAGTCCTCATCTTTCATCCGAGCCCAGACTACTGGAGGGGAGACAGCGGGGTGGGAGGGAGGTTTTACTTTTGTGTTTTAATTGCATGCAACTCTGCAGGTAGCATACTAATGGCTGCTGTTAAAGCGTTCGCTCTATTTTTTTATTTTTTTATTTCTGCTTTTGGCTCTGATTAGAAAGTCCGTAGACGGAAGCTGCACGACAAAACCACAGAACCTTTGGTCTAGTTTCTAGAGCCAATATCTCAGCACATTTGATGAGACAAAACTAACTCGGCAGTAACTTTCCAGCAAGTTATAGGAGCTTGTTTTAAGTCAATAATTCCTTAATATCGATGAGGAAGTCCTAGTTCCAGTAGCAGATTATTTCAGTGATGAGACGTGCTACAAGTGAAATAATCTGCCAATGGAAGAAGTAATTTTTCATCAACTAATTATTGACCGTTATGCTGAGATATTTGCACTGGAAACTAGATGAAACTAACTTGGTAAGGTTTTATGTTTTTGCAGTGTACCGACAGGTTTAAAAAAAAGTTAAAGAAGGAAACACAAAAGCCACATGTTGATTTCACCGACTGAAGCTTCTCATTTCACAGAGGTTCACTCTGTATTTTTAAGCACTTTTTGGTCCCAAAACATTGATGCATCTTTTATTTTAGATCAATATTGATTTTTTTTTTATGTTTGTTTTTTATTTCAAATCCAGTTGAACAACAATCCAAAGAGACACCATGTGTTCTAGTGTATCAAATATGTAGTTTTTTTTTTTTTTTAAATCTTTGAGGTTTTTTTTTTCCTGCAGTGCAAACTGCACCGTTTGGTCCTCCAAACCTAGATTTGTAGGCTGTACAGTTTACCTGCTGGACAGGTAGGATGAAAAAAACAAAACATGAAGTTGTGAGAACAAAAGCAGTGTTGCAGTTTGGGAGTGAGTGGAGTCGACGCCACGCTTTCCTCTGCCGTCTGGTGTGCTCAGTGCTTGTTTGCTAACCGGCCTGCGTCTGCGTGCAGGACTGGAGTTATCGTAGGACGTCCTGTAAGAGGCTCACGGTTCCCGCCAATTATCCGCTTCACTTCTTTTTGTTTATGGATTTCTGTCGCAGAAACAGAAAGAAAAGGGCTTTTATTTTATTTTCCTCTTTCTTTCTCTTTTAATGTGTGGTTGTTTTTTGTTACCACTAGGGAGCACTGCACCGACTCCCTCCATCCGGGAAACCAAAACACACAGAAAAGTACAAACCCCGCTCCTCCACCCCCCCCCACCCCCCCCCCGCGGTGGGAAATTGACTTTAGTTTTTTGTTGTTGTTTCTCAGTGGGTCATCGGCGTACGGCAGATAATGTGACGAGCGTGGGCCCTCACACTCTGTGACATTTTACCCCTGCGGCATTTGTAACGGACTGAAAGAACAAATACGTTGTCAGATCGTAATTGGTGATTCAGCCCAGGCAGTCGGCAGCAGCTTTAATGTTGGAAGAGTGCGGAGGGGGGGGAGGGCGGTCTGTGCCAGGGACAATCAGCAGACGCAGTTCAGGAAAATGAGCTCCCTCGTCCTCCACCACCATGACCGTGATGATGATGAGGATGATGATGAACCCGCCGTGTGTGTGTGTGCATCAGGTGAAGCCCGCGTAGCCTTAAAAACCTTGACGATAAAATGCACTAGAGTAGAAGCCAGCGTCTTCTCAGGACAGAGGAGAGCTTTTATACCTCTGCTTTTAATCGAAGGAAATGTTTGTACTATATAAATGGTACACTATTCATTCTCAGCATTGTAAAAAAACAAAAACAAAAGAAAAGGGCAAAAATGTAAATATGATCTATGTATAAATAAAAACAATCAACTGTACAAAAAAAAAAGCAACAAAACAAAAAATAGTTTGATTTGTGATTTATTGCAACATTTTGTAAGAATATTTTATTTATGACTACCCTATTCTGTGGGGTAGTGAAAAATGCAAGACCATATTTCACAATAATAATAATAATAAAAAATTCATAACACAGCTTGTTGTGGTGTTTTTGGTGGCGCTCCTCTGTTCTTCGTTTTGTCTCTGTAAGCCCGACTGGTGTCGTCACGACGACCAGAACGCAGAGAATCCCAGACGGATCCAGAGAGTTGATGATGCTTCCAGCTCGAACAAAGAATGAGAAGTTTAAATTAAGGTACAACGTTTTCACCTCTTTTTATTTATTGTTGTTTGTTAGAACAGAAAAGCTCCTAAAATAACTTCAGTTCAAATTTTCAAAAAATTTTTTACAAGACAAAAAAAAAAAATCCCACTAAATTTTGTTATAGGTGTACAAGAGTATTACAAAATTTTAAAAATGAAATTAAGTAAAGTAAAAAAAAAAAACAGAATAAAATCAGTATTTTGAAAATGAAGACGTACGAGAATAAAATGCTAGTATTACAAGAATAAAGTCATAGTACTTTCAGAATAAAGTTGTATTACGAGAATAAAGTCTGACTATTCTCGTAATACTACGAATTTATTCTAGAAATATTGTGACTTTATTTTAGTAATATTATGACTTTATTCTCGTAGTTTATATTTTTATTTGTTCTTAGCATGCTCCTAATATTCTGTTGCAGTCTGCTGCTTCACAGACTGGCAGCTCATTGGGTGGAATCGTAAAACTTCATTAAATTTACAACTGAGTGAAATATCTGTTTATGACTGGCTCCAGATTATAAACACAGATATATGAAGTCATAAAAGGCTCTTTATACCTCTTGCTGTGACTTTTAACAACTGACCAACGATGGTGAGCAATTTTTAAGAACGTAAAGGTAATGAATGAATGTAGTGAGTGTTTTCTGTAAAGTCATTTTCTTTCTTCTATAGGTTGCAGAACTTTTTTAAGATTTAATGATGCTAGTAAAGAAAATGCATTCATTTCCTTTTAGGGAAGCAGTTGAAGAGTTCAAAGAAGTTGATGTTCTTTTCTTTTAATGAAATTTTTTTTAAATCCAAAAGAAGATATTGTAAAAAGTGGTTTTGTTTTGAAGGGTCGTGTCTCTAAAAAACTCAGCCCCTGGTTTAGACTCTGGACAATTCATGAAAGAACTTTTATTCTGAATTTTTGGCTTTTATTTTGAAACTACTTTCTTCACAATCATGTCATTTATATGTAACAGGGTGGCATTAGTTGCTTCTAACATGGGCTGTAACCTCCTGCTCCTCCACTTTGCCCACACCAGCCGGTGAAGTGTTACAAGGCCGCATGAGGTTCACCACAGCCACAGCCTCACAACCCACTCCTTTGATCTGGTTACGGCAGCCATCTTGTCACTGTGCTGCACTGATCACATGGTGATAACCGGCATTCAGGAAAACCGTTGACACGCTCTGCCACACATGCTAACAGAGATAAACTCCCATGTAGCGCCTTAGCTAAATAGTGGCAGACAGTAGTTTATATGAAGTTGATCACATGTCATTAGTTTGTTCTCATTGGTTCATGTGCTCCATGATGGCTGCTGTTTAAAAAGAAAAACCTGAATTCAAACTATTGTTCCACCAAACGACACACACAGGCTGGGCCTCACTTTAGAAAGAGGGCAGTAACCCAGGGCCTGAAATCTTGGTTCAGGGGGGGCCAGGTTTTTTTTTTTTTTTTTGTAATGAATGTGTTTTACATTGTACTTTATACCAATTATTCAAGTTTATCTGTGTAGCACATTTCAGCAACCAGTCAGTTCAAAGTGCTTTACATCATAAAAACACAAAAACACAAGTCATAGGAACTACATACAGTCGCTGATTAATAAACCAATGACATGTGGGCTCTTATGGCTTGCTACATCACCAAAAGCATCACCACACATTGAACATGTCGGTCATTTATTATGGTTCAAAAGCAACAGCCGGTTTTTAAGCCTTGACTTGAAGGAACTCAGTGTTTCGGCTGTTCTACAGTTTTCTGGAAGTCTGTTCCAGATGTGTGGTGCTTCTCCGTTTGGTTCTGGTTCTATAAAACCTTTGGGACCACAACTGTATTTAAAATGTTGAGTATTGTTTATGGAGAGAAACAAAACACTATTTGATAATTAAGAACCTGTAGTCATTTTTTCAGGAACATCATTAAACCTACCGCACATCAATTCATGTCTAGGCCTTCCTGTTAATGCACGGCAACCTGTAGTGCATTTCCAGAATTTGTACAGCAAAAAATGGCTCCATGGATTAAAATGGATTAAAAACTTGCACTGTGTTGTTTTAGTCCAGACGTGAACTTGGTGAGATAAAAACCCAATATCAGAGAGCATGAGGAAGGAAGGAAGGAGAGAAGAGCGTAATGTGTGCAGCTGTTAGCCTTCCTGGACAGATTTCCTGACTGGACCGCAGCATGTGAGAGGGAAGGTCCAGTCATCAAGGCAGAGCTTCTGAAAGCTTGGATCCGGAGACATCCTCGTGTCCCACAGCCAGGTAATGACCTGAACCTCCTTTGTTTCCTCTGACACAGCTGGCTGGGACTCTGACAAAAACATCTTCTCTTCTTGGGGCTTCTCTCTCTCTCTCTCGCTCTCTCTCTCTCTGTTGCTCTCTCTCGCTCTCTTCTTTTCTCTAAAGAGTCGG